ATTCGCTCAAATTCGAGGTCTTCTTCAATGAGAGAATTGACGGGTCGCTCGACAGCTCTGGCCTCACCAGTATACATCCATTCTTTCTTGGCCACGTTGGCCGCCTCCAGACGACGAATTTCATCTGCGATCCGTGCCCTCTGCTTCTCATGTGTTGAGCGTGGGGCAGAAGGATCTGCAGATCCGTCAAGGTTCTCATCCTCTTCTTCGGCAGAGTCTGCATCCATATCGTCAAACAAGTCCCGTCGAACATCATCCATAGCGCGTTTGACATCGCTCTCATCGACTGCCGGTGCATCAGGTTGGGTCTTTGGCAGGGCGCGGTGTTTCTTGTTGGAGGCTTTGCGGGGTGGGGGCGCGAAGAAATCGGCGTATTTGATATCACTAGTGTTTACCCAGGCAGCAGCTTCACCGTCTTCCATGTCTGCGGCGTCTTCATCATCAGAATCGGAGTCACCGTGGAGATCAGCATTACCGAAGGTCGGCCCTTCCTCCTCACTATCATCCATGCTTTCGTCTTCCTTTTCTGCTGGGCGTGAATTCTTCGATTTATCGTCTTTGCGAATGGTCGCGGCATTTCCAGCGATCAACGGGTTGGAATGCCAGTCGAGATCCTCCTCGTCGCTGTCTTCAGGCTGCTCGGGTCCCCCTGCAGCATCTTGTCTCTCCAAAGCCTCGGACTGCTTGTTGAAGTCGTCAATAGAGAAGAAACCGTCGTTCAGTCCAAATTTATCCTCGACAAATACTTCGGGTTCTCCTTCGGCGGAGCCAACTGAGGAATTATCATCGTCCATGTCTTCATCCATGTCTTCATCCATGTCTTCAATGTGTTCCATGTCATCATCAGATCCCATACCGACATCTCGGTCAGAACCCTCGTCGAGATCATCATCGGCGCCTGAACCCTCGGAGAGATCTTCAAGCATGCTCTCGTGGCTGTCGCTGTCGCTTGGCGCACCCTCGGGGTCAGAGATATCCTCGAGTTGCTCGGAGTCGGCTGACTCCATGTAGCCGCCATGTTGAGCAATCAAAGTGATATCGCGCTCAATCTCGTCGCCGGTCGACTCGAGAATCCGTGTCGCTTGCTCCCATATTTGATTCGAGGTGAAACCGTCCACGTAGAGGTTCTTCAATTGGAGCCGGGTGACTGAATCCGATTCGAGGTCTGACCTTTTGCGCTTTTTATTGAGTTGCCGGCGAGTGGTCTGGGCGTCCACGACAGACCCAGCGAGGGAGTCCAGGATGTGCTTCGCAGAATCCACGACGGTGCTACGTAAATCGTTCGTGGGACGGAGGAAACCCCATGGCGAGGACAGAGCGGACGAGAGAGGCATCTGTTCGAATGGTCGGGCGGTATTAACCGATACGGTCTTGGATTTGGACTGCCCTTTCGCCATTGTGAAGGAGCCAGATAACTTGTTGGAATACCAAGAGTCTCGAGAAGCGGAAAGCGCAGTAAAAAAATTATCGCCGGACGGACGGTCAAGAGCCAATCACGTCGCTGGTTGATAAGATAAGAATGACCAGTATAGCTCGACTACAACATGTGGACAACTAGAAGACTTGCTACTACTCTCTATACTAATTTATCATGGCTTTCTCGTAATGGAGCCGCTTCATATTTTATGAGAGTATCCAGGATGACAATTCGTGAGCTAAAACTATTGGAAACCATTCAAGTATACTGGGCCCAAGGATTTCGTAGTGTGTTTATAGCACTTGGGTCAATGCTTCCCATTCCCTTTCTTTTCTCTCTTCTAACAAGAAGAAAAGAGAAATATACCATGTGATTTTTACAGCAACTGCACATGAAAAAGCAGTTTAGGATTATTGTATTTTCGAGCTGACTAGGTGAAGCCCAACGCCACCAACTAATGACGCCAAACCTCTGTCATACACATATTGATAACCTCGACGGCAAACGTGGCATAGAGGCATTTTAGATATGGATATCAAAACAGGAGAAAGAACTGTCATGTAGGCATCAAACGCCTCGTCCGATTGGAGGGCATACAAGTCGTCCCTAGAATGAACAACTTGTGGCTACAACAATGAAGGATCGAATAGTCCAATGTGAATTGATTAATCCACCGCCACAGGTAGGGTCTAGAACAGAGATGTTCTGGGTGGCTCATAACTTCTACGTTGTACATCGCCCCAATATAGGCAAAGCTTTGAAGCAATGGAATGTAAGTAGATCATCATAGTGACATTGATGGCCAGCTTTGGCTTTGGTGGCCATATATCACTTGTCTTACTTAAATGGTTGGTTGCCTGCATAGGATTTTTACTACATTTACAAATTTACACAAGCTCTCCATTCACCGTTCTTGTCCACATCCACGCCCTAAACCTGCCAATATGCCTGTTACCCAGTCTATCGAGCGAGAGGCAAGTGGGTCTAAATCCCAATTTGCGCCAGGTGAGTAAGTGTTCTTTGTCAAGTATTGATTTCTGACATGGTACTTCATATAGGCCACAAGATTCCTGTTCAACACTTGAAGAAGCCAGGTCTGCAGTCCGAGTTGGGAGATCCCAAGCCTGTGTCCACTCATATTCCCACCGAGGATTACGGTTATCAGACCTACAAAGCCGCTGGAAAGCTCGAAGGAAAGAAAGCGATTATCACCGGTGGTGATTCCGGAATCGGTCGGGCAATTGCAATTCTGTTTGCAATGGAGGGTGCGTCAAGTGTCGTCGTTTACTTGCCGGAAGAGGAGTCGGATGCGCAAGTGACAAAGAAGAGAGTCGAAGAATGTGGACAGCAGTGCCATACTTTCGCTACCGATCTTCGCCAGAAGGAAAACTGCCAAAAGGTCATCAATCTAGCCCTGGAAAAGATGGGTGGCATTGACATTCTCGTGAACAACGCGGCGTTCCAACATATGCTGAGCGATATCAGTGAGCTCGATGAGTGAGTTGCCTTACATGTCACCCCTCGCCGGCCAATGCATCCTACTAATGCACTAAAAGACCCCAGTGGGAGAAAACTTTTAACACGAACATTCACCCCTTCTTTTATCTTTCCAAGTATGTTCTTCCGCATATGAAGGAGGGATCTACTATCATCAATTGCGCATCCGTCAATCATTATATTGGCCGAGGCGATCTCCTGGATTACACCTCGACTAAAGGAGCAATTGTCGCATTTACTCGCGGCTTGTCAAATCAGCAGTTAAAGAAAGGCATTCGGGTCAATTGTGTTTGCCCGGGTCCAAGTAGGTCCTCCATACATCTATTCCAAGTCAAATGCTAACGATGACAAAGTCTGGACGCCCCTGATTCCTGCAACAATGCAAACCGAGGCCATGGAGCAATTCCATGCAGTGCCAATTGGTCGACCTGGTCAACCTAGCGAGGTCGCAACATGTTTCGTTTTCCTCGCAAGCCAGGACAGCAGCTATATTTCCGGACAGTGTTTGCATCCCAACGGAGGTATGATAGTCAATGGATAGGGGATAGGGGGAAGCTGCAAGGAATGAATTGTGCTGTACCAGTTTCATTGTATAGATTGGAATCCACAGCATTTCAAAACGACCTAACAGTCCCTGAGTCCCTGACTCAGTTCCTAATAATTTACGCCAAGCACGTAGACCGAGACAAATAAACCACCATAGATGGTGCCATGCATGCAATATATGGTATCTTAGTGTCGCTTGCTGTGATTGTGACTGTACACTACCACACACACTCCCCGAGGTCGAGTTGAATCACACAGTTTCATCACCTTGCTCTTTGGTATCTTCCACGCTAGGCGCATTGGCAACAATCTTCTGGACAGCGTCCACAGTCGCGTCTGGGCCACCCGCCTCGCGGAGCAAGACCTTACCCTTCTTATCCACGGCAAAGACACCTCGCACTGTACCCTTGGGAGATTTTTTGAACCCAATAGCTGCAGTAAGAGTGGCCTCGGGGTCACACATGAGAGGGTAAGGTAGGTTTTGTCTTGTCTTGAACGTAGTGTTGGCCTTGGGGGAGTCGCCTGAAAGGCCGTAGATAGAAAGACCAGTGGAAGTCAGGTGGGTATAGTTGTCACGGAACAAGCAAGCTTGCTTGGTACCTGGATGAAGCGGCGTAAGCGGTCTGTTGGAGTATGACGATTTCAAAGTATTCCAAGGCAGCCCAGTCCTCTCTCAAGAGAAGCACTGAGCATGACACAGGGACTTACATCCAGGCGTTGAGGCTTTGGGGTAAGTAAAGAAAACCACACCCGACTTGCTCTCCTCGAGGAGCTTCTTCAAGGTTGCTTTTTCACCCTCATTGGTTACAAACTCGCCACCGAAAGTTTCTATATCGATCGTATCATCCACCTCAGGGACCTTTGGCGCGGGGCTTTTTCCAGTATCATTATCGGTAGCATCTGCGCTTTGTTTGGGCTTGGGAGCTTGTTTGGTCTTCTTCTCTGCGACGGGTAGTGGGGCTGGCGCCTTGCGTTTCCTGAGTTCGACCATGATGCGATCGAAAAAGAGAAAATGTAAAAGACCCGGATAGAGGAATATGTATAAAAGGAGTCAATTGGACGTTCTGGAACATATCAGCTGCATATCTGCCCGGTGTAGCTGCGCCATTGATTAGATAAGCAGAAACCGGAAAATCCCGATAGCGCTGCTGTGGCGTGTGGCGTGTGGCGTGTGGCGTGTGGCGCTCCGAATGCGCCCTGCCCTGACCCGAAGGGAAAAAAAAAGAAAAAGAATTTTCCCCTCAGACGGGAGATCGTTAAAATCCACTCTTCTCCATTTTCTTCTATCTGACTTGCTCATATTTGTCGCCGGATTCCTTTCTAGACTTAGACTTAAATCATTTTCTGCAGCTCCTTCACGTCCTGCCTCTCACTCTTGACTTGAATCAGTCTTACTTTGTCTACCTCGGGTTCCTCAATACCACCGTTCTATCCCGTCTTATCTACCACAGCGCTTGTCAACGCTGTCTGTCATCTGAATACCCTATCCCAAGATCACGCGACCCATCGGCGTGGTCGAGGTGAACTGCGACTCACCACTATGAAGGTCTTTTCTTCCGGATGCACGTTCGACTACTCGTGGGACGAAGTATCAACAGCGAACTGGCGCAAGTACTGTCCATGGAATGATAAGTCTACACATGTCGTAGGTGTAGACACGCTCTCGCGAACCGTCGACCCAAGCACTGGCATTGTGAGTCATTCAACCCTGAAGGAGCACTCTCAAAATATCCTGAAATCTCTGTACTGACTTTTGTCTCTAGTTGCGAACCGAGCGTCTTATCACGTGCAATCAGTCTGTACCACAATGGGTTCTCTCGATTCTCGGTGGAACGAATACATCTCACGTCTACGAAATCTCTTATGTCGACCCGGTCGCAAAGAAGGTGACCATGTGCTCCACCAATCTGACATGGTCAAACGTCCTCAGCGTCCGCGAGACTGTTATCTACCGGCAATCCTCCCTTAGCCCGGCCACCACGACCGAATTTAGCCAAGAAGCAAAAATCACCGCTCTCTGTGGTGGATGGCAAAAGATCAAGAACAAGGTTGAAGAGGCAAGCGTGGATCGATTCCGTGAAAATGCCAAGATTGGCCGCGAAGGATTCGAAACCGTCCTCGAGATGAGCCGCCGCGTCTTCGGAGAACAACGCGAACTTGAAAATCAAAGCCTCCAATCATGAGTGTCGCATGTCTTCGACATACTTCTCGCGGCCTCTCGACATCATATATCAATGTTTTTTCTCCCCTCAGCATTCAACATCAAGCGACTGCATATTCCGGCGTCTGTTTCGCATATTCGAGCATATGGCGCCAAGTGGAGTTCTTTGTCTTTTACTGTCTTTCTTTGATTCTCAACTCTTTCAATCTGCTCATGAATACCACCCTTTGCCGCAAAAAGCCGCACTGCCAAAAAAGTCCTGGATTAAGTTATTTTGAGCGAGTTGTCTTTTTATATCCTGCTTTCGTATTGTAACCCCAATCAAGAAGGCGGCACAGATGTATCATTAGAAACTTTCAACTTTAGACCTGAAATTCTATTATCATACGACATTCACCTCGATAAATTCATATCTCATAAGAAGCTCAAGCATATGTTCCGTCAAACTGACAATGAACACCAGACCCAATATATAGCAGCGAAACCTTGCTGCTATCCCAGTAAACCGCCAAGAACCACCCGACTGACCCCAGCAATCTCACTCTTGACACTATTTCGGCTCGCGTCTTCGAACTCACGCACTGCGCCGGCCACCATGATCTTTCGTAGCCTGGCATCTGCTTTGGAAAACGTCTCGCCCAGGGCCACTGTACAGACCGATGGAGATGATACTAGAGCGGCGAGCCGGCTATACGTGTCAATCAAGACATCACACAGGGTTGCAAATGTCTCAAAGAAGTCCGGCTCGAATGGCAACGATGGCGTGAGAAGATAAGTGTATTCCTCGCCAGGGTGAAGATCCGAAGACTCTGTGAGTGGGAAGGAGGTGACTGAGGAAGAAGCTGACCCGAGATTCCCTGCCGTGTTCTTTAAGTCTGATGGGTCACTGGACTGCATCGGGAGTCCGATCTCATTTGCAGAGCTGGCGCGTCGGGTCTTGGTACCTGCATGCGTGGCCCGTTTGAACATTTGGGGAATACGGGCCCTTGCAAGAGTTGACGAGGAGCTGCCATCTGGTGGATGCACTTGCTGGAACGCTTCGAATTCCAGTAGTAAAGCATTCAGGGCACGTACATACTCAAATGGCGTGGAGTTGACATCGAGTATTGTGGGCAACGACAAGCCTAGAAGCAAGTAATTGATTGCGCGGCGAGAAAGTTTCCGGGCTTCAAAGTATGGCAGACGAGCGATGTCAGCCCGGGAGAAATGCACAGTATTAAACCAATAAACTCGTCCTTCATGGCTATACGTAGCACGGTATCAATTAGTAGTGCTTAGATCTGGCCGGTCTGCGATCAACTTACGCCTTTCTCATATAATCGAGAGTCGATATCCGTTTCGCAGCCATTTCATGGATGTGTTGATATATTGCGCTTGCACTTTGCGGGCCGAGAAGGCCCCCTCCGCTGGTGACTGGAGGTGGGATGCCATATGCTCCTTCATGCCCAACACCGGACTTGGCTGTGTCCCGCCGCGTGATGCCCGGGGTAAATGTAGAGGGGATCATTGACGTTGGTGGGCGAAATTATGCGACACGGACGAAAGTGGACAGGGGCCGATAGCAGGATAAGGCGGAGGTGTCAGCAAAGTTGAGAGAGCAAGAAATCAAATAGATAGATAGGCGAGTACATGCATGTAGGTAAGACGTCAATATGTTAAACATATGTTCAAATGTTATTGAGACTCAGGAGGTCCGGAGAAAGATGAAGTTCCCCGCAAGCTGGACTTTGATGCGGAAGATTACTGTAACCGTACCTCCTATGTAATTACCGCTGATCACATCCCCTCCCCCCTCCTGTACAATTCAGGCCTATACGTACCTTGGAACAACTCTAAATTTGTTACTGAGTACTATTGCGGAAATGGACTCAACACCCCTCGAGGAGCAGGTTCCTCTGCCTGGACAATGGCCTGTTGAGCCTCAGGAGGATGTACCAATCTCGGAAGATCGACTTTGGGTCGATGGATGCTTCGACTTCAGCCACCACGGTAGGTTTGCGATTAACACCTAGTCAATTGCTGTAAGCTAATTAATGGATCGTTTTACAGGTCATGCCGGTGCTATGCTCCAAGCCCGCCAGCTAGGAAAGGCCCTTTACGTGGGAATACACTCCGATGAAGCTATCCTCGAGAACAAGGGTCCGACAGTGATGTCACTGGAAGAACGGTTGGTTTGATCACGTTCTGGTGGCTTCTGGTCCTAACGTCGCTGTTATTTAGTGTCGCAGCTGTCGACGCGTGTCGATGGGCAACTCAGAGTGTTCCCCATGCCCCCTATGTGACCTACCTACCCTGGGTATCCCACTACGGGTGCAAATACGTTGTCCACGGAGACGACATTACTTCTGACAGTGATGGAAACGACTGTTACCGCTTCGTCAAAGCCGCTGGACGCTTCCGTGTTGTCAAGCGTACCCCGGGAATCTCGACAACCGATCTTGTTGGCCGTATGCTGTTGTGCACCAGGAACCACTTTGTCAAATCCGTGAAGGGTACACTCGCTGGACTGGAAGGATATGGAAGCCCCGAAGAGCGCCAGGCTTCCGCTACGGATCTTTTGCGGAGAATCAAGGATTATGCGACGGACGAAAGTGGCCTTCAACCTGGGCCTCAGGTGTGGACATGGACTGGCTCAGGCACCGCGAAGATGGACCACGTCGTCGAGGAGGCTGGCCTGTTCGAGACGTTAGTCGACGGAAAGGGTCCCAAGCCCGGGCAGAGGGTTGTTTATGTTGACGGAGGGTTTGACCTCTTTTCCTCCGGTCACATTGCGTTCCTACGCAAAGTCACGGAGCTCGAGAAGTCTGACGGCCGGCAACGTGGCTGGTATGAGCCAGATCAAGTTGCAAAGAGGTTGGAGGACCACGGAGAGGACTATGCACCGTCCTATATTGTCGCAGGTATCCATGATGACGATGTGATAAACCATTGGAAAGGCTTGAACTACCCAATCATGAACATTTTCGAACGTGGTCTCTGTGTCCTTCAATGCCGCGTAAGTTTTCCTTGGTTTGCTTTCATCCGTCTAATTTGCTAACCTTCGCCAAAGTACATTAATGCTGTCATATTCTCTGCACCATTTACCCCCAGCGAACCATATCTGAACGCAATCCCGTGGGGCACTCCCGACGCTGTCTACCATGGACCCACGACCTTTATCCCGCTAACATATGATCCATACACTGCTCCCAAGAAGATGGGAATCTTCCGGGAAGCCGAGCAGCACGCATTCCAACATGTAAACGCTGGTGAAATTGTTGGTCGGATCCTGAAGAGCCGTGAAGCTTATGAAGCCAGGCAACGCGCAAAGCTGGACAAGGCCATTGCTGAGGATCTGGTGAAGTCACAAGAGGCAGCTGAAGCAGCTCAAGCAGCTCAGTAGGCTGGCTGTCGATTTTTGTGAAAAATACTAATTATGTAATGAAGATCAACTGTATATACGATGCTAAACCTCATCAACTGGGGTTTCCTCTCAAACAAGCGCCTACCTCGTTCGTTTGCATGGCGGCTTGTGACAATTTGGTCTACTGGAGCAGATAGATCGGAGAATACCTTCAACTGTCAAATCAATAAAACAACTATCCGACCAGCAGGATATTAGGACCAGAATACATTAGAGACAGATAATTTTACAAAGACAGCCATCTATCGAATTGATAGGCTGACATCTTCCACTCGGCTGCTATTTATTCATCCGCCGCAACCAGGACACCCTTGGTCTCCAGAAGTTTCGCAAGCTCACCATTTTGGTGCATGGACATCAAGATATCGCAACCACCAATGAACTCCTTCTCGAGGTATAGTTGGGGAATAGTGGGCCACTCAGAGTATTCCTTAACACCTGTAAACGCAGCACGATTAGCAATCCAAACCCGGCAAGAATTCCATCGATATAATCAAACGTACCTGAACGCAGCTCCGCATCCTCCAACACGTTAAAAGCGACAAACTTCTTAGGATCAACACCCTGCAGGCCCAGGATTTGAATGGTGGCACGGGAGAAACCACATTGCGGAGTCTCGGGTGTACCCTTCATGAACAGAACGACGGGGGCGGAAGAGACCGCCTTATCAATCGCCGTCCGGGTCTCATTGGACAGAAGGCGTGCATGGAGGGCAGAGGGAATGGAAGGTCCGGAGGGGAATTGGATGGCCGAGCGAACGGGACGCAGAAAGGTTGGTCGCGAGACCGGGCGGAAAGCCTGCGGAATTCATGTGAGCTGGGATCTTGCGGAGAATAGACAAAATTTCATACGTACGGATGCAACTGTTCTGGAGAACATGACTATGAAAATGATGGTAGTTTACAAGAGAAGAGGTTCAATGTCAAGTTGCCTCGGGGAAAGGTTTAGTATTATTTAATCAGCGGTTGGTCCGCGGGTGTCGATCCCCACATATCTAAAGCTCTCTAGGTCTCTATGGACCACTCATCTTCTTTTCTTGTTCACTGTCGTTTCTTGTCTGCTTTCCATCTACAATAAAGATACCGGCAATGGATTCCCAGTTACCACCTATGCCGTTTGTTGCCGAGCAGTATGCAAATGACAAGAAGGTCCATGTGCTACTCGCAGCCGCTACCATTAAGCTGCCCAACATTGCAGAGGCACTATGTCGTAATAAAAACATCTCAGTCCGCATCCTAGTTACCGAGCCAGCGGAGAATTTCATCGTCGGGCAGAGCTTGGAGAAGCCGGTCCTCGATACTCTGCTTCGAATAGATGGTGTGGACGCTATCTACCGGGACGAAGACGAATGGTCGCCGCCGTGGACTCGTGGAGGACCAGTCCTGCATATTGAACTGCGCAAATGTCAGTGGCTATGTAGATGATAATGATACATGATACAACGAACCGACTCACCTCATAATAGGGGCCCATATTCTACTGGTTGCCCCAATGTCTGCAAATACCATGGCGAAAATGGCTAATGGGATCGCTGACAACCTGCTTCTCTCGGTCATCAGGGCCTGGGATACGACTGGAGTAGTTGATATGGGCTTCAAGACCCAGAAACCTTTGATCTTTGCAGCGTTGGATATGGACCCCTGTATGTACCGACATCCAGTGACCGAGAAGCAGCTTAAAATTCTACGTGATCAGTGTGGATGGAGTGAATCAAACCCAGAAGGTTGGGTGACTGTGCTGCCTCCCATAGAGAAGAGCCTGGCCTATGAAGATGTCGGTACCGGGGGTATGATGGACTGGAGAGATATCGTCACTGTAGTCCAAAACTACGTGGCGGGATCGGTGCAGAAGCCATGAGGAAAAAAGAACCAAGGCTTGAACGCCTATTTATATTGTTACATGGTTATTATGTTGACTCGGCCACCACGCGCTCCGGCTCCTTCGTATTGTACAGACCAAGATACTGCGTCGCATACTCGGCGAGCAGGCCCAAGGAGATCCCCCCACCGGTCAGCAGACATCCGTTCCTGAACCACCACCAGCAGTTCCGAACACTCTTCAACTGGACCTTCCAAATCATGAGACCAAGCGACAAGACGGCACTGCCGCAACTGCCAACGAAAAATACAGGTCCGCAACCGGCAGCAACTCCTGCAGCCGCGAGGAGGGAGACCTGAGTCACCGCCAAACCACTCAGGATAGCCTTAGTGTTGTGCTCATGGCGGAGGGCAATTGACTTGATCCCGGCCTTGACATCGTCTTTAATGTCCATGTGTGCATAAATCATATCGTACAGAACTGTCCAAGCAATACAACTGGAATAAAGGGCACCTGTAGCCATCAAGGCATCATGATTGGCAAGCAGGTCCACCCCCAACGCTGGGAATCCCATAATCGCTCCCCATGAAAAAGCAAGACCCAAGACAGCTTGCGGGTAATTGGTCACGCGCTTAGCAAGAGGGTAGGCCACCACGATAGGCAAGCTAGGAATCCCATACCAAAGGCACTGGGGTGGGAACGAAAGAAGCACACCCAGCCCGGCCATCAACTGGGAGCCTGTAAAGAGTATTGCCTTTTTCGGCGAGAGTGCACCTCTGGCAATGGGTCGGAACTTGGTGCGTTCGACTTGGGGGTCCAGGTTTCTATCCCACAGGTCGTTGATCGCGCAGCCTGCACCGCGCATGATCAGCGTCCCGGAAAAGAACAGTGCTGCTGTGCCCAGGACATGGAGTGGTGCGGCACCAGCCATTGGCGCAGCGAGGAGAGTGGAAAAGAGACATGGGAAGAATAGGTAGTAGGTGCCCGTGGGCTTGTCCAGCCGCACCAATTCCGCATACGGTATCCATGAACTCGGAAGGGACGCAATCAGGCCGGTTTTCGGCGGGATGTAGTGTGTGGCTGGGTTCTTCTCCGCGCTATCCGTATCGATTGGTTGTGTTGCGGGCGATTGCAGCTGTGAGCTGTGTCGGACTTGGACTAGTGTTGTCCGCAAGGCAATGGATGAGGTACTGGCGAGAGATCGACCGCCTTTCAATTGCGTCGAGGAATAGGCATTGTGAGCGAGTTTGGAAAGGCGCCCATTGTGCAGACCAGTGAGGTTGACCTTTTGCCTGTATGGGGATAGTCGAGTGCGGAAGACACGGGAGCTGGTGGAAAGCATGGCGAGGGCAGAAGATTTAGAAACCGATCATGAGTCAAGTAACGCAATTGGCAATATCAATGTTCCTGTCAGAAGCCTTGAAGGTCTGGCCATCTGAAGATCGTGTCGGAAATTCATCGTCATGCAGGAAAAAGCGGATCGGTTCCTTCCCCTAAGCCTATTTGGGGCATCAGATCTATGCAGGTGGAGCGCGCTGCCACGATATACTGGACTACCAAGTATATATTGAACGGAATGTTATCTAAACCTTCAATCTAGAGAACAAAGGCTATGCGATGTCTACTCGAAGTTCCCATGGAAACGTATATGTAGGCAAAATGGTGAAATAAATGTATGGCAGTTCCAAGTTTCACGTGTAGATCTCTGCCTGAGGCCATAAAACGCGGCATGCCCGCGTTCCCCCAGAAGTTGATGATCATCCGAATCGAAGGAAATGAGCTGCGATCCCTTTCTTTCAAATCACTCTATCTGATCTTATCTCTCCCGACTCCCAAGCTTCGATTGACATCTTCTACTCTTCCGTTCTATCTACTGTCCACCCGCCCACTCCTCTGCTCCTTCCCACTCCACTCAATTATCTCGTCCCAACCATCATTACGCACCACAGAAACAGCAAAGAGCAGCGCAATCCACCCAGTTAATAATTCTGAGCTGCGTAACCTCGATATTGGCCCTGACCACCAACATTCTCCGTCAAACCATGAACGTCGCTCCTGTGAGCTTTGCGCTCATTGCGAACATCAACTAAACCTCAATATCTTGCTCCCCTCTGGGGCCCTGTGCTCGCCATGCCCGCACATCGAACCCGGCTGGCTTTCGAGCCACTCTCACCTCTTCTGGATATCCATCGGGTTGTTGAGTCTACTCCCAATTTCGAGTTTGCGATGGATATCACCTGTGACGCAATTGAGGATTTTCCTCTCGAAGATTTCGAGAAGCTTGTCCTGTACCAGGTTGTCCTGAGCGGAAGACCCTTGGTCATCAGAGGATTTCATCAACGTCTTGACAAAGGTATCTTCTCGGGAAAATGGCTCCAAGAAAAATACGCGAAGAAAGGTGAATTCATGCTCTTGAATCATCTCATCCTTCGTTGGTCAATACTAACTGCAACCTCTCCTAATAGTCGAGGAAGTTCGAGATCTAGTAAAAAAGAAGAGCTTTAATTTCAGTATGGGCCACTACCTCGATAATCTGTCACTGCTCACTCGGCAAGTGACGGTCCACAACTACACACACAAAGACCTCCAGCGGCTCTACCTCAAAGACATCGACTGTCCTCCCGAGTGGCGTGTTTATCTAGAGAACCTGTTACCGCCATCACTTTTCTATCTGAACGAAGGACCCAAAGCCTTTGAAGGCCCTGCCTCGGGAAAGACAAATCTGTCTGAAATCCCCAAGTCCACCCAAGGCGACCTCATCGCTCCAGCCGGTGATTTGATGAGCAGTCTGCCCGCAAGCATGCGCGCGGAGAACCTGATGTGCTACATCGGCCATGAGGGTACGTACACACCAGCACACCAAGAGATGTGTGCCAGTCTTGGTCACAACATAATGGTCGAGGCGTCCGATGGGTCTCCAGAAAACGGCAAGCCAACGGAACCGGGTTCTTCGATTTGGCTCATGACAGAGACCAAAGATCGGCGGATTGTTTCCGAATACTGGATGTCTGTTCTTGGGCATGATATTGACATTGAGGATTTCTTTGCTCCCTTGCATGCATGGGAGATTGCACCATTCAAGACCTGGGTTGTGGAACAGAGACCCGGTGATCTTATTCTTGTACCCCCTCTTGCTGCACACCAAGTTTGGAACCGCGGCACTCGGACGATGAAAGTCGCCTGGAATCGCACTACTGTGGACACGCTCCAGCTGGCTCTGCACGAAGCTTTGCCGCATGCGCGAATGGTCTGCCGCGATGAACAATATAAGAACAAAGCCATTGTTTACTTTACTCTTGAACGATATTCAAAATTGTTGCGGCAAGCAAAAAAGGTCGACCACCCGGTGGTGGTTCAACTGTGGGACGATTTCAAACGCCTGTTTAATATGTACAAGAGCATTTTGCTGTCTGAATCCTTCTCACAGAAGAACCCAGAGAAAAACATCGAATATCACGAGTTTCAAAGCAACGTCACCTGCTCATTTTGCCGGTGCAACATCTTCAACAGGTTTCTTACCTGTCCTGGGTGCGCAGATGCTCTTGGCGGCGATGAAGACCCTTATGATGTATGCATGGATTGCTATGTCATGGGTAGAAGCTGTGCCTGTGTTTCCAACCTCAAGTGGATGGAACAATTTCCATGGAAGCAGTTGACAGAACGCTACGAAACATGGCGACGGCTTATCATTTCCTCTGATGAAAACAACAAGGATCTGAAGGTTCAGTTCCCCACCTTCATTATCGCTAGGGGACAGGTAGGCAAAAAGTCTGTGGCGGAGATTTGCCAAGAACAACTGCTGCGCCGCCCCTGGAATGACCCTATGAAGCCCAAACCCGTGGTAGACAATACCATGGAAGATGCCGGTAGTGAATCGGATGGCAACACCCGGTCTAAAAAGCGCCGCAAAATGCGGCAGTCACTCATGGCGAAATCTGCTGACGTCCACCGCTGTCACGTCTGTCTCCATTTCGAAGTAAACTGGAAACTCGCGCCATGTTCGAACTGTGACCAGCGTTACTGTTACGGCAGTTTGTTCCGCGCGTTTGAAATCTCCCCCCAGGAGGCGATGGAAAAGTATCACTGGCTCTGTCCGAAATGTCGTAAGGAATGCAGTTGTGGTGCTTGCCAGCGTGACCCTTCGATGAAACCATATGAGCCTAACTGTACCATTCTGGGCCATGACACCAGTAAGGTTGCCGATCCCCGCAGCATCGAGACCCTGGTAGATTTCCGGAAATCGAATCTGTGGTGGTTGAAGAAATTTGGCGATGACGTTCATGGACGCATCCAGAAACGTCAGAAGGAAGCCGAAGAGGCTGAATTGGAGCGACAGAAGACCCTTGAAGACCAGGGCTTCAGCTTCGAGTCCAGCCCGTTCGACCAGCCACAGAATGGGAATGGGAATGATGAGAACCCACTTCCCTTTGACGATAACGACGGGGGGATCCCCGTTGATCCATCGTTGATGGCCTAGGGCTCTGTTGCGCGGCTCGGCACTTGAAACGACTCATTAACTATGCTGCATTTGAGCATGCGACAGAGATCATTGCGAAACTAGATGCGAACAGAGACGCGGAAAAGAAGTGAAGATTTCTAGTGGGATATGCGTATCCTACGGACTACAGCGAGCATTGAATATTGGGAAAGCGTGTTTGAATTAAGGAGATCGAATGTATGATTTGTGATTCCCCGAAGATTTTATCTCTTCTGCGACACCATGGTTTAACAAAAATCTGGCTGTACTTTAATAATGAACCTATGCATTCAAGTTGGAACCAAGTTGAATTCGTGAATTACTATTGGCTAGGCACCTTTATACTCGTACTGTAGATCCTTGAGGGATGCAAGGTCAACAGAGAGCATGACCTTTTGAGCAAGTAGAATCACTGCGAGCATGGCTGTACATGGTCAGACTCAATATCCTATAGCCGATAAAGAAGAGACTTACCTCCAGGAATCAGGTATAGAACTGGTTGGATCCCATCAGATGACCCTGTAGAAAGATAGCCCATAGCAAGCAACAAGCAAATTGCACTGGTGGCAGGTACCAGAGCCGCATGAAGCCGAGAAATACGTTCAGTGTGGAGGGTCATAGGCTTCTTGCCTTTACGATCAGGCTGGAGAGGAGAGCATTTCATGATATAGGCTGTTGTCAACAACGAGGCGACGCTGAGGAGCGAGAACAACCGTTCAGTCTGACTGGAAGCTGACAGCACCGAAGGCACAAATACTGTAGCAGCCAGCAGTGGAAGTGCAGTAAAAACCACCTGGGAATATATTTAGCATTTGCCCTCGATCATAGAAGAAAAAAAGATATGTACACTGTACTGGGCGTTGCGAGCATCATTCTGGCTCTGCAACTGCTGGATGACCCGTTCCTGTTGCTCTTCATCCAACTCCTCTCGCTCACCCTCTGATTCCTCAGGGTACCGAAACGCCTTGCGCAATCTCACCGCAGCCATTTCTCGAAAGCGAAAACCAAAACAAAAGCGCTGTATTGTCACCCGGTGGTGCAGTGACGTCGAAAGGTCAAATCTGTTTGTCTTGTTTGACACTCTTTTCTTCCGCACCTCTCCCGAAACCCCAACCAGCCCGACAAACACCAAAATATAACCCCCAAAAACACAGCAATGGTCTTCTCTCGAGCATTCACGCGGCGCGCGGCGCTCGCCCGGCAACCTGCCCGACCCAACATAGCCAGCCGACGCACAATGATAGCTGCGCCAGGTCCGAACGCAGGACCACTACTGGAAAGACGAGCGGACCGCGAGCTGCCGAACCCGAACCCAGGCCGAAAGTGGCTTTACACACTCCCGATCTTCATTATTGCGACGGGAGCAGGCATGCTTGGAATCTTCAATTACCAGAAGTCGTCGTCGAGCATCGTGAACAGCACGCTGTATGCGCTGCGGACGTCGCCGCGGGCTCGCGAGATTCTAGGCGATGAGATCTACTTCGCGCAGCAGATTCCGTGGATCAGTGGCGAGATGAACCAATTGCATGGCCGCATTGATATCTCGTTCTGGGTTAAGGGGACGAAGTCTCAGGGCAGGATGAAGTTCAGAAGCATTCGGCCCGATCGTATGAGCTATGTGAGTTTTTGGTCTATTTGGCTTATGGCATGTTGAATGATGGTTGCTGACTTCTTTCTTTTCTTGTAGTTCCGTACTGAGGAATGGAGTCTGGAGACCGAGGATGGAACGGTGGTTCAATTGCTCGACAATGATAGCGATCCCTTCCGGAAGAACTGAATATTGGAGTGTGTACAGATACAGCAATGCATTCGCTCGGGCGTTGGGGGACATTCTTCTTTATGGGACCGTTTGTTGCGTTATCAATTCGGCGAAGCCATTGTTTTTCTTTTTCTCAATGGCTAAGAGAAAAAAGGAAGGATATCATTTTTTGTATCATATACAAACGCCGCTCAAGTCAAACAATATCGCGCAGTGTAATGGTGTTATAGTACATTGTCAGAACTAAAGGGAAAAGCCTCCAATTAAGCAGCGGCAGGTTCCGCCGCCTCTACCTGTGGCACTTCCGGCCATGGCTTCTTGATCGCATCCTGGATCCTCACAACACAGCCCTTGGGACCACTGACGGCACCTGAAGCAAAGAAGATAGGTTAGCAAAAGAGAATTCGGAAAAGGCTCAGAGCAGCTCAAGATCGAATCACATACCGCTGACAACAACAATACCATTCTCAGAATCCACCTTGAGAATCTTCAAGTTCTGGACAGTATTTTGATTATTGCCCATGTTTCCAGCCATCTTCTTTCCGGGGTAAACACGGGAACCACCACCCTGCCCAGGACCAGAAGAACCCATCGAACGATGCGTCAAACTGACACCGTGACTGCGATCCTGACCGCCAAAACCGTGTCTCTTCATGACACCAGCAAAGCCCTTACCCTTAGTATTGGAGCGAGCATCAACAAACTGGCCCTCCTGGAACCAACCCGCCTCGATACTCTGACCAACAGGGATAAGGCCCGCCTCGTCCTTCACGCGGAACTCAAAGATATGGCGCTTAGGCGAGACCCCATTAACCGAGAAATGTCCAAGCATCGACTTGGTCACATTATTCGGATGCTTCCAGCCAGCACCAACCTGTACAGCATAGTAACCATGTCTCTCACGGGTCTTGTGGGAGATAACCTCAACACGATCCAGCTGGAGGACAGTGCAGGGGATGCGCTTTCCAGACTCCGGATCGTAGATAGCAGTCATGCCCTTCTTGATACCGATAGCGCCAGTTCGGAGCGGGAGGGAATTGGCTTTGCGGCGGAGCGCTGCTGTCGACGTCGACTCGAGGACTGGCAGCCCGGGGCCGATATTGAAGCGACTAGGTTTGGGCGGGTTGAGAGATCGGATTCCGAATGAGCGCACGGGGATCCGGGGCGTGATCAATGGGGAACCCCATACGGGTGATAGCTGAAGTAGCCCTCCTAAGCGCGGCGACATGGTGGGTTTGATATTGGGACGGGGATTGGGGTGCTCGTTGTGACCGAGAACTCGGGAAGTTTTTGGTGTTGGGCTTAGTCAGCGCATAGGCACGCCCCGAAGTATACAAATTCAGAGCTGCCACGCGTTTTGACGAGGGACACAGCTAAAAACTGGGGATGTTGTACAAATAATAGCAAAAAACAATAGAAATCATACAGACGCTCACCTACCATATACCGTATCTCCTTTTACACCAACACCAACATAACCCGTATTAATCCCTAACTCCGGCAGACACAGGCGCAGCCCGATCGGACCGGAAGCCGAAAACGCCGAGAGGAACAAAAAAAAAGGACGGCATTCCATGTCCTATCCAGACTCAACACCAATTCGGTCACCAAATCGCACCCCCTCGATCCAGAACCCCAGGGGAAGACAAACCAACCTATCATGTCCCTCCGCCCAACCCTCCTCACAAAATGGATCTCGCGGCCAAGGGAGATCCTCAAATCGAACCCAAGCTTAGCCTCATACCTCCACCCCTCGACCCGCCCATCCCTCGCACGCCGCAGCATAATATTCCCGTCCGCAGGGCAAGCAACACGACGAAGCCTTGCCACAGCGCGGCTTTCGACGCGCACCCGGCCGGGACCGACCTCGTTCCAGCCCAAGCAGCGCCGGTTCAATTCCGGGTCGGCTGGCGGTGGTGGTAAGGGTCCTGGTGCTGGCGCTGGAGCTTCAGAGAAGGCATCGCTGTCGCAGCGGCTGAAGAAGCTCTCACGGGAGTATGGATGGGCTGCGCTGGGGGTGTATCTTGGACTGTCGGCGCTGGATTTCCCATTTTGTTTTGCGGCTGTGCGGTTGCTTGGTGTTGAGCGCATTGGGTACTATGAGCATGTCGTTATTGGATTCGTTAAGGATAAGCTCAAGTCTGTGTGGCCGCAGACTAAGGGTTCGGAGGCGGAGGATGGGCAGGGGCAACTTGCTCAGGCTGAGGAGCGGAATCAGGAAGAAGCTAGTAAGTTCTCATTTTGTTGGTTTCTGAAGGTTGGGTTGCTGACTGATGGTTTCTTTCTGCAGGTATCTGGACACAATTGGTTTTCGCTTATGCCATCCACAAGAGCTTTGTGTTTATTCGAGTGCCGTTGACGGCGGCTGTGACGCCAAAGGTTGTGAAGATGCTGCGTGGATGGGGTTGGGATATTGGGAAGAGAAAGCCCAAGAGTACGTGAAGGTGATGTGATTATATAGCATAGCGCGAGATACAGGACTTGGGATTCGGACCATTGTACATTATTAGCCATTCAGCTCTCTAATACAGCAATCTTTTTTCTTTTGGCCTTCTCAAATGCTCTCCAGACGATCTACATGTAATCAACAAGCCAAACCCAGACAAGCCCAGCTCTATCTCCAGCGCCCAAGATGAGATAGGAAATGAACAAAGGATGGAAATCAATAAAGAGAACGTCACACGCTGGAGACTATATCTGCTGTTTGAAATAACTAGCAAGAGCAAAATAGAGAACAAGAAAATAAAGCAAATATGGCGTGGCAAAGGCTACTAAAGCTCGTAATCTTCGTTGTGGAAATTAATTTGCGACAATATGTAAGGGGTGTGTGTTTCCAAAGGAAAGCGAAAGTGAATCGGATCACATATCGATCATGTCGTTAAATCTCAGAATGCCGTTGGCTCTCATCACACCGTTAACACCGTCGGGCATGCGGTATGCCCATTCGGCAACGCCCATGGTGTCGGTGGGTAGCTCCTCGAATCGATCCGACTGACTGACCTCATCGGAAGTGTCGGCCACAAGCACAAGGCCAAGCTCCTTAATGGTTTCGACGAGCGCGGGAACAACATTCTACACAGCGGTCAGCAGGAAAACTAGAAAGAGAAGAGAGGTAGCGCTGAATAGGACCAAACATACCAAAAGGCTAGATCTGCAGATCAGACCCATAAAGTTGTTGCTTTGGGCAATACGAGCAGACTCCTTAATTGACATTGAGGCCCGGCCACTGCTATTGACATGGGGCATCGAGTCGACGTTCCCAGCCAGGTCCCGAATTTGACCAAGATCGTTGCAAAGAAGAACAGGATCTAGTCATAGAGTTAGTATCACGCGCGAGTTGGACTGTATGTCCAGGAGACTCACAGTTGGGTTGCTTCCAGTTGAGAGCACTACAAATGTTCGGATTATAGGAGGTGAACACCACGGAACGCATGAACTCTGGGTTCTTGTCACGGGCCACACGGGCATGGTCGAAGACATCGGTCAGGATAACATCGGCAAAGCTATTAACATCCGCCAAAGAAGTCATATCGAGTTTCTCCTCCTCCGCGGCTGATGGGTAGAGGGGGGAGATATTGACATTCAAGCCAATAGGGAGTTGTTGCAAAACATCGCGCAACGACAAGAACGACGCCGCCAGGAGTCGATGAGTCTGCGGCATGTCATTCATCGCTTCTGTTTCCAAAAACTGGAGGATCTGGGTATGGTTGGCACCGCGATCTGCGCCAATGGCCTGGAACTGGGCATATGTCAAATGAGACACTGGGATGTCGACTCCGTGGTGGTTGATCATAAATTGCGGGTAAAGGACTGCAACGCGGTCCCGGGTCAGTTGTACAAAGAGCTGAACATAATCTCCTGACAAGCTGGAACCAGTCACCAGTCCATTGTGCTCTGAGTCAAGAGCACTAGTGGCCTTCCAATATGTAGCAAAGTGTGTGATCTCCAGAGGATCACCGTGGTATGGCTTGATCACTTGGAAGTTGAAGCGCAGCTGGCCGATCGTACGGAGCCGGGGATCGAATAGAGGCAGACAACCTGAGCCAGTGCTGGATGACTCGGCGCGGAAGATGTCTGGCAGGGCCACACTCTTTGCAATTACCTTTGAACCAAAGGTAGGGAAGATCTCGAAGTCCACAGCAAAGGTGTCCAAGTTATCCACGTGGAATGATATTGTGCGTGTCTCTTCCTGAATGGGTAGCATGACAGTACGAGGGATGATATCTGACAGCTTGGAAGAGATTGTCATGCGAGCAGCAGGATGGCGGCCCGCCTGATCAAAGGCAATAGACCCGAGATTTCCTTGATCGAACAGAAGCTGCACAAACACTTTCTTATCGAGGAAGTTGTGGCCATAGCGGCGGAGAGGGATGATTGGGGGAGGCAACTCGAGGTCCGGGATGCCATCGGCCATTTCCAATTCGGAGACGCTCGTGATCACGGACATGTCGCCCATCGGGCCAGGTTCTTGCATCCGCACGCCATTGAGAATGTCAAGCGGTCCCATTGCAGGCTTTCTGCCGGAGGGTTGTGCCCAGAGAAGGAGCATGCACTCCAGATTCCCTTCCCAGGCAGCATAGTACATTGACGAGAGGCCCTTTTCATCTGGGACCTGAGCATCAACCCCGCACTCGAGAAGGGTGCGTAGGCAGGGAACACAGCCTTCGCTGGCGGCGTGGAAGAGTGGAGTCCACTGGTAGAGCTTGTCCTTCTGGTCGAGATCAGCACCGTGCTGCTTTAGCAGTAATAGTAGCTCCGGTGATTGTGAGGCGCGTGCAACCATATGCTGGGGGTAGAGACCCTCTGCATCCGGCAGCAGCTTTGCATTTCGCTCAAGAAGCATCTTCGCGATGGGGAGAGAGCCGTGTTGACAAGCGAGGTTCAAAGGAATATGATCGGGGCCCTTCAACGGGCGATTGTCCATTCCATTTAAAGGGGGCGATTCGGGCTCCGGATCAACGCGGGCATTGCTACACAGAACCTGCTCGGCGCATGCCAGCTGGCCTTTTACAATGCTGTGAATTAGAGGGGTAAAGTTGTCATGGTCCATGATGTCGACGGTTTGAGGGCCGGCTGCGAGCAGATGTCGCACCATATCCACGCGGCCGTGCATGCACGCGTAGTGGAGAGGGATTCGACCATAGACATCGGAGCGGGCGAAATCGACGCCTGCTTGGAGACCTGCGTGGAAGACGAATAATCGGCCCGAGATGGCGGCTTCATGGAGGCAGTTTCGCTCGTTGATATCGTCCTCGGCGTGTATGTCAACCAGTTTGCTCTCCAATAGCAGAGCGAGCACGTCATCCGAGAACCCGTTGATGGCGGTCAGGAATGTACGGGTGGCACGTTCACGGGCGTCGGGCAACTGCTGCAACCTGGCCAGCCATTCACGTAGGGTTTGCAGATTGCCGGTGGAGGCTGACTGCAAAATCTGGCTGTCCATTTCATCCTCTTCCGATCCCAAGGGTGCAGCACGGTCCAATGGACGTGAGGCGTCATATTGAATGTTCTCGCCCTCGGCCCAGGCCTCCAATTCCAGTCGTGCAGTAGTGGCTCTGTCCGCAAGGTCTCGAAGGACTTCACGGTTGAAGCATGGTTGCACCTCGACTGCCCGATGCAGATACAGCTCTTTCATGCGAGACTTGGATGTTTTATCCCATTTCTTGAGGATTTTAGACATGGCAGTCTCATTGATCTCAACAAATTGCTGCAGTTTGTTCAGGTCGCCATCGAATTGTTGGAAGCCTTCAAACATAGCAGCAAAGTTCGATGGTGCTTTGGAATTTGAGGTGGCTCGGGACTGAGTTACCCGTTTCTTGTCGACCAACGTCCTTAGGCGTAGAGAAAACTAAAGCGATATGATGAGTTTTCGAGTATGGTTATGAATTTGCGCTGGATAAATGGCCATACCTCTGATTCTTTCTGGAGGTAAAAAGTGTTGACTTTCTCAATCTCTCGTTCCTATACATCATGATAAGTACATCCACCTTCCGATATGCAGGAGATTATTCCGACTCACCAAACGGAAGAAGAACACTTCTTTGTTCGCGCGCAAAGCGCCTTGAGGGTCCGCATTAGCTCTCGCAATTTCCTCGGCTGTTCTCTGCGCCGGGATAGTCGGGGTGGCACTGAGTTGCTTGATCAGCTGAGAAGGAATTAGCCATGCTCATATTCCGTCGCAAGCGGCAGGGCGTTAAACCAACCTTCTTCAGTGCCTTGTAGTTAACAAAGCTGGCGGCATATTCAGGAAGATCTAGCTGCCTGCGCTGGATCTGTTTGCCGAACTTCCTGGAAAATCAGGGCATATCAGTAGCAGCTCGAGTAATAAATCGCCCGGTAGCAGGAACGGCAGGGCGTACGTACATGTTTGCACGATCTCGGAGAGAGCTTTAGCTCTCCCGAGCTCTGGAGACCGAGATTGCGTCAGTAGCGCAAGCTCAGCAAAACGGGAGCTGAAGATTGGATAATGGGGGCTGAGCTGATTGTGCGAGGTAGGGCGCAAGGGTATCAATGGGGGGAGAAGAAAAGAAGAAACACGGTGGGATGACAAGGACACGTTTGGGACGGAACCAAAGCTAGACTTCGGAGGGCAAGAGGGGGGCGCTTAATGCGCTATCGCAGTGGGGAAGAATAATAGTGGAACAACTAAGAGACGGAGTGACACAAGTAGATGAAAATGTGTGACGTTGCGTTGAGTCCCCATATATCAAATCAAGGGTGAAGACGCTAAGAATGGAGGGATAGAAGTTCAGTACTCCATAGAGGTAGAAGTGATAGAGATAGAGGCGATAGAGATAGCGGGGCAAAGACTCGAGAGACACATGTGGGCTCAAGGACCAGGTACGAATGGAATGTGTGCTATAGTTCCAACTAACAGAGAAGGGAAAAGCTGTGAGGTGCAATTAAGCCGGGGAGTGGGGAGCTTGGTGAATCATCTATCGCCAATCATCGCGAACGGCGGACGCACGTTGTTAACTTACTGGTAGCGACTGCAACGGAAATGCACCGAGTACTTCTATTATGTGCCATAATTTTACTTTTAATAGATTATGGGAGTATTGGGACATATTTAGTACATCTTAGTATGTTTTAGTATTAGTAAAAGTATCTTATTCAAACGCTCTTTCCTTTCTGAGGCTATATCTTCTACGATTCTGCCGACATTCTCCACAGAACCTCCACAGAACCCATACCTCCTACAACTACTACACTCAGGGACGAAAATCAATAAACATTTCATTTCAGTATACCAGATACAAAGACTTCGACAAGGGAACTAGGAGTAAATCCAAGACACCCGAGGTATCATTGCAAATCTCGAGTATGTCCAGTCGCATGGAAAACTCCACACTCAGAAGGAAATGTACAAGATGGAGCTCCTTACAATTCCATGTAGACAACAATAAAAAAAAAGAAACAATGCACACAAACATGAACGAGGTGTGTTAAAAAAAAAAAGGGCGAAAACAAGCTATGCAGCTGAGACCAGATGCGCGGGATATATCAAACGGAGATGACCAAACCAAATCAAAGCCCGACAGGCCGATTAAGGGGGGTGGAGAGAGAAAGACAGAAAAAGAAAATAAAGGTGTAGAGGGCAATAGAGACATGAAGTGAAGGTCCATCGCGCCGGGAATTGGAACATGAGAGACCCGAAAGGAACGAACGAAGTCGGCGGTGGTCGAGATAGAAAGAGTGTGTGGTATTGTGCAAGATAAAAAGAAATAAAACAAAACAGGAAATGCCGAGCTTTTGGAGATCAAATATCATTGGAGGAAATCTGAATCAGTCGGACCATCAGAAGTTCTGCGCAATACCGGCATTCCCCTGTCGTGGATAAACACCGGGGTTCTCGATACGCGTATTACGGCGCGCCTGGACATCACGGATCACAGGCTGGTAGTCGTCACCGCCGTATGCGCCGTGTGTGTTGATGTCGCCGTAGTACGGGTTCTCACCGTAGTAGCCAGCTGAGGGGTGGACAGCGGACATGTGACTTTCCTCTGATGCGTCGGAACGGTTGGCTGCGGAGTAAGCGGAGGATGCATTGGAGGGGCCACGGTGGATGTCGCCGTTGCGGTTGTTCGCAGCCACTGGGGCGGCACCCAGCACGCCGATTGGTTCAACAATCTCGCCAGAGTCGGGCCGGGCGCCATCAGAATATTGAACGGTGCCTTCGCTAGGTGTTGTGGCATGGTGATAACCGGGGCTGCTTCCTTCCGACATGGCTAGGCCACCCATTCCACTGGAGAGGTTGGTGGACGCCTTACGCCCGGCAGAGGTGGTTCCCCAGCCGCGGTACCCAGAGGATTCGTCATCCTTGGGAACTACAACGCCTCCAATACCGGGAAGGGTTGGGTCGTTGTTCGGGTTGAATCCGTACTCCTCCACTTCCTTGCGGCGCTCCTCCTCAGCCGCCTTGTTCGCCTTGCGCTTACGCCAAAAGAAGAGTAGCGCCAAGATGATCAAAGCCACTGAGACAACCGGGACGACGACTGCGACGGCAATTGTGCCGCTAGGAGAAAGACCGCCGGAGCCTGCTGCTGTGCCGGAGGTTGCGAGCGCGGCTGAATCGGTTGCGCTGGAAGAGGTGATAGACGTGGCACCGGTGTTAGACGCTGTTTGGGTGGACGTGACAACAACTACGGTAGTTCCCTGTGTCGATGTAAATGTTGTCCTCTCGTCACTTGAAGTGGTGGATGGTGCGGTTGTGGTGGAAGATGTGGACGAAGTGGAAGTGGGTGTGGGCGAAGTAGACGTAGGGTCCGGGGTCGACGTGGTAGGCTCGGTGGTCGGCGTGCTACTAGTGCTGCTCGTAGTGGAACTGGTTGTGGTCGGTTCACTTGAAGTAGAGGTTGTGGGAGCAGGCGTAGACGAAGAGGTCGTTTCGGTAGAAGGGGTGGAGGGTTGGGTGGCAGATGTTTCACTGCTGGTTTCAGGAGACTCGGGAGACGCCGAAGTCTGTGCAACAGTTTCCGCAGCGCTAGAAGCGATAGCTGCAGCGCCAGCGCCAGCGCCTTTGGACGGTGAAGCCATCTCGATAGCAATGTTGATTAATGCCGGTCAAGAATACGTGATGTCTGGTGAGATTGCAGGCTGTTGGTAGGGTCGAAGCGATCCTGAGCCGGTAGACCGTTCGGCGAGTTTTGAGAGATTAGGGACACTTCCGGGTGCGGAAATAACTTCGGGCTGAATGATACCGGGGGTTCACAATTTTCGAATCCAAGTTAATAGGCTGATTTAACGAGAGACTGCGATTTGAACGCGTAAGGAGAGACGGGGTTTATGGTCGGAGTCTCAGGGGAAAATCGGCGATATCTCAGGAACTGATCGGAATGGAAAGAAAAGAAGAAGGAAAATGAAGAGGAAGGATGGAAAAGAGAGAAGACCGAATACTCACAATCTCTCAAGGCCGAATCTAGCAGCCATGAGAGGAGAGAAGTTGTGTGGAAGAGTGAGACTGAAGTGGGAAGTGGAGATTTCTTACGATTGCGGCGTATCCGCATTCCTAGCTGTATTAATAGATACAGATGCACTTTGATCTTATAATTTGACTGTAGTTAAAAAGCACATGGATAGTCGTCTAATTTCATGCTACGCTTGAGTTGCAGTTGCATCCCCCGCTTGCAACAAACATGATGCTGTTTCTGGTAATCCCTTGATCCGGCCATGCGAACCCCTGCTAAGGGTAGGGCACTATAATACTCTCTGAAGCTCCCTAATACACTATTCTCTACCTAGGTAAATACCCTAAAAGAACTGGAAAATATTTCCAATAATAATCCATATTCAATAGCAATGTTCAGTGTTACTGTTTATTATTCGGTACCGAAGAGAAAAATAAAGGGAACCGAGCTGAGAGTACCCGTGGGTGTGTTAGCCTTGGAGTAAGGAAGCGCCGAGGCTGAATTCCAAGGTTATCCAATGAATACTTCTTTCATATGGAGTATACGGAGTACGATTCCACTTAGTGCTTCGTATAAAAAATAGTCAATGATGCAGAGTGTACTCAGTTGCCACACCTGATTCTGTTTCTGATTCTCTTCAACGGTTTTGTTGCAGTTAACGATACTGTACGGAATATGTTTACTCTAATTAAAAAAAAATACGATCGGCGTGGATAATCTTGTTTCCTGCGTCTAGCCCATTGGCATGTTAATACTAAAATTGTTGTGATCGCTCTCATCCCCTGACTGTTTGGTTAGCGCTCGGCCCGGTTTCCGTGTTGCCAACTGCGACTTTCAACTTCCCATACGTAGGCGCCTAATTGTGGAGTGTCTACATATGTACTCCGTACAACAGACGTACAAATCTACGGAGCAGAGTCAACCCCTAGAAGACTCAGATTTCTAGAACTACGGAGTATTGTTTTCTACAATCCAGCAAACCTCTACCAAGATCCGAATATATACAGCCCGGAGACCGGGCAGAAGAAATGAAATTTCAAAGCGATCACAGGAAAAAATCTAACCATCATCTATTTACGCCATTGATAGCAGATTTCCAGACAAAAAATGAGAACAGACTAATGAATAAAAAGGGGCGATGACCATCGTCCCACAAAAGCTCAAGCACCGGGGGACCCAGATGAGAAACCAAAAAATCAAATCATCACGTGCTCTTATACAAGGTACCAAAACAACGAAGTTCATGACATTGGAAAGGACAAGCCCGCTTCCTTATGAGTTGTTCATATCCCACTTCGGACGTAGAGTGGCCATCATATCGTCCTTAGTGCCGACCGCCTCGGCCGGCAGGCGACTGACACGGTAGTTGCCCATGCGAATATTATTCTGGTGGTGAGCAGAGACGCCAGTCCGAGCACTGCGGATACTTCCCGCATCGCTGCCGGTACCCTCGTTCTTGAACCGGGGCGGTGGCACAAAGTCTAGGTTTGTGAACGTGCCGGACTTGCGCAGGGCGTGGGGGCTGGGCATCACGGCCAGCTCGTCAAAGGCAGAGGCCAGTGGCGTGTGGGCACGCACACCAGGGATGTAGGGGCGTATGCCACCCGTGGGTGTCTCAGGGCGACCCGCACGGCGGTCCTTGAATCCATTTGCCGGGGCAAAGTCCATGGCAGTCATGAGGGAGTCGTCCGTCAACATGTGAGGAGTAGGAAGGATGTGCAGCGGTGAAGGGGGTGGGATCGGTTTCTTGGGACCGCGTGGGCCAGGCATACGGCCAGAGGCAGATGAGAAGGCGCGTGGCCCGGGCATGCCATTATAGCCAGCAGAGTTGGTGGCCATGTGGCGAGCGGCTCCCTGGAAGCGTGGAGGTGCACGAGGAGGCGGTGTCATCGCACGACGGGTTATCGGCTCTGCGAATGGAGCAGCACCATGAGTGGCATCATAATAGTCGCCGGTGGTTGGGTCGTAGATGAAACCAGCCGCATTACCACCACCCTCATAGAACTCGGGTCCGAAGTCCTCGTAGTATGTGGGCTCCTGGCCGGTCTTACTCTCATCGAAGTACTCCTTGTAGAAGGAGCGAATCCGATTGGCACGCTGTTCTGGGTTGTCGGCGGGGTCCTCTGGGGGCAACGGGCGCAATCCGAGAGTCATCCGACGGGTATCGCGGCGGTTATCATATGCCGCATCCAGACTTTGAGGTTCCTCTGGGAGTCCTGGATGCTTGTTATCGTGGGTTGGGGCATTATGCTGCTGTACATCTTCTGTGCCATGGACGTTGACCGCAGGGAGAACGTATTGTGACTTGCGGTCATCGCCATAGTCACTACTGGTAACATCACTGGCCGGCAGGGAAATACGAGGAAGCTGCGATGCAGGAGCCTGGTCATGGTTCAAGTCTCGTGATTGCGAAGGCTCAGGCAGCGGGAAGTTGAGACGCTCTTCATGCTGGTTGCTATATGTGTTGCCATATGTATCGTCCAGTCCGAAGTTTAGGCCCGAAGAGGAATCCAGATGGGGCAGGGGCTCTGGCGTGGGAACCCGATTGGCGTTGGGACTTCCAATAGCCATGCCAGGTTGATGTGCGGCAGGTGGATGCGTAACTTCGGGAACTTCCCCAAGGTAGTCATTGTGCTGGTCCGGGCTGCGTCTATGAGATTCGATAGGTGAGGAGTACAGCGGCGGGGATGAACGAGACATCCTCTGCGCATTCTGGAGAAGACCTGAATCACCGTCATCGGCACCTTCAAATCGGGAACCCCTGGGGTACGACCGAATGGAGGCAGTGGCCGGACGGTACTTGTCATCATCTATTGACATGGAGCGCAGAGACTCCGGGGAACCTTTCAGGCCCGGGGGCATCAGATAAGGAGCGACATCAAGAGACAGTCCTTTGGTATGGGTTGGTTCCGACATCGGGGGCATTCCAGGACCTTTCCTCCTGGTTGCAGGCCCCACTGTATCCATTCCAAAGTCGAGAGATTTATGTTTATCCATTGCATCTTCCCGCAGAAGCTTCTTGACATGTCTCCGGTGAAGCACAATGAGGACGATGATAGCACACAGAATGGGCACACCTGCACCTAGCACGACGGGCAAGACTGTCGTCGTCAGATTGCTGGTAGGCTTTTCACCTGTGATCGTGGTTGATGATTCGGCTCTTGCCACGAGGGATGGAAGCTTGGTGGCTATAGAGGAGGAGGTACTGGGGACCAAAAATGGCAATCGATGTGGAGGGATGACATCCCGACGAACATGGTTTCTCATCACCAAGCCGGCGTGATGAGCATGAGGCATAGTCGATGTAGTCTGGTCTATACGGATAGACCCGACTCGTCTGGAACGTGAAGACCGGTCAACACGTCTAAAATGGCGATAGCCGCTCGAGATTGATGCTCGTCATTTAAATTTCACACAATTGAGAAAATCACGAATACCTGCAGAAAAAAAAGAGTGTAACAAGGTAACGAGCAATGTAAAGGAGTGTATAGGACTAGGTCCTCAAAAGGAGTGGAGGCCAGCCAAAAGAGAATGAATATGAGTTGGATAAAGAGAGAGAGGAAGAAAAGAGGAGAAGGAGAAGTGAGTTCTAGAATAGTGGACTAGCGCCAATATTATACAGAGATTGTGGTATTGTACTCCGTACAGAGTCTACTATCTCCGCATCTTCCCCTGAGTCTTAATTTAGAACACCCTGGGTTTCTACTGTTATTGTGTTTTTTTTTGTCTTTTGATATTTGTTTATTCTGATCTCCTGATCTTTCACCTGTTTAATTTATTTGTTGATACTCCTAATGCAAGACCAAATGCAGCAAGCAAGGTGAGGGCCTCCAGGACTTATGGGACCTCCAGTAGCGTCAGGAACCCGCTCTCCTATCAGCCAATCATTGAACGGCTGCCCCTGAGTTGGCAGCCCAAGTGGGGATAAGAGTGGCTGTATCTTGTTTATTACACACTAAACGTTCACGTTCAGTCTATTTCGTATCTCCCATGTAAGGGCACAAGGGGGATTTCTCGTTTCTCGTTTTTCATTTCTTTTATTCTCATTTCTTCCCTCGTACTCTGTACTCCGTATGCTCCAAGGCTATGCCAAGAACTCTTCACATTGGCTAATGCTTAATCTTTAACAAGAGGGAATAATGTTCCTGACCAGTATACTCCATACATAAAGAAATCAATGATCAATTGATTCAATACAAGGCGAATTTGAGGCTGTAATTTCTGCTTCCCTCAACATGAGACGCCGGTGCCGCCCCGTCATTTCCAAGTGCCCCGGATAATATTCGGATTAACTATACTACGTCTTACTCTTAATTGTATACCTCCTTGGCTTGGAGGCTACTCCATACGGCTTCCAGCCTCTATACATTGTTATTTGGAAATTTTCTTCCATTTTTCTGCACTAGCTCACTGGGTCGTTTGCTTTTTGTTTTTATCTACTCCTTGAGCTGTATTGTCAACTCAGTTTCTCTCAAGGGGGACCTCTACGCATACCTATGTAAGCATACAGAATACTCATAATCTATAACGGTATTGATAATTAATAAACAGAATTACGCCCTCAGCGCAGGCTATTCAGATACTCGTGGAAGATGTGTAATAGAATATCTTGTCTTGTCCTAGTGGCGCGCTACGGAGGACTTGTATAGCTATAAAACGCCTCTACTAAACCTATCAGATATATACACGGAGTATATTAACGAAGAGCGAATACCGTTAGGAGCTAGTTAAATACCTTAATTTGTCTAGTATAAAGAAGTGGCGACCGTTACTTTCTTAGAGTGAATTCTTAGAATGATATCCGCGTTACTTTAAGTTGTGCCTATGGATATATATTGCCTCCAACAGTTAAGCAAAACGAGGATTCCTCAGTCAAATATTCGGTCTTTATGTCAATTCTCACTTTAAAACCAATTGATATCGTCATAGAGGACATATCTGGTTCCTCGCGTATTGGATGCCGATACATGTTAGTCGTGGAGAGTTTAACTGGACACGAGTATAGATTCCCTGAACCACATTTGAAAGCGACTGGAGACACTAGAAAATCAATAGGCCCGGGAAGTTGCCCAAGGCAAGATGACTTCCTCAATCTCCTCTGAGATCCCTATATTTGCCGTCATGGCGGCTGTGCCCTCCGAAATCCCGAACAAGCATTTACGGTCTTGCCATGACTATCTTCATCATGACCATCCATGGACATAGCCTCGTACACGTGAATGAAGGGAGCAAGACCGTTGACAATGACATAGTGTATATTGAGAAGTATCGAACTGTCTGTGAACCGTTCCCTCGTACACTATCGTTCATACGGTTTACGAACGGACGCTAACATTGTTTTTAATCTGGATAATATGAAGATTACAAGTTGGGTTCATTTCTGTATTAGACTTAGACACAGGATGGCAAGTTCATAGAATTGCCCTCCAGGGCTTGTCCCCGGGTTAATCATCACATCTGGGGTTCATTGCTTTTCATTTTGCCTGGTATGGGGGTCTTGGTTTGAAAACATCATCAGAGGACAGATCATCCCCTTTGGAAGGAATCCTCCGTGATTAGTACAGCGCAATTAGGAAATATGAGCTGCGCAAATATGAAACATGGACGAAAGGAATGGGAGGAGGACAGAAGAGAAAATGGAAGGTCATGGGCCCCATGGGCACTCGTATGTGTGGGATGCACACATGAAAGGGAAAGGGAAAACCGTATTGTTGGCAATGTACATGGGGGTAGAGTTGTACACGAGAAAGAAAAGAAAAGGTAATGGCGTTTTGCGTCAGATCGCACTGGAAAGAAATAGACGGAATTCTCCGAGATCGAGATCGTGTAGGGAGTAGACATTAGGTAACGATGAAGAAGATGGTCATGCAAATGATCTTCAGGTGTTTTTCGGTTCATCTCATGGGTTGCGGTTGGCGGATGGAAGACAATGAGAGGGAGTGAGTATTGAAATGTGGGGGTTGATGAAAAGAAATGAAAGGTCGATTAGGACATGTCAGCCAGCGCTGCCTCGAAGCTGGCAATATCATCGTGAGACGGTTTGTCGAAAATGCGTCGGAATGGCGGGTCTTGGAAATCCTGCGGGCTGGTTGCTACCCCGTCTGCTTTGCGAATAACTTCCTTCAACGCACGTGTCACCACACCCGCACGAACCACTAAATTTTTCAATGAGGAAGTATCAAACGGAAGCTTCTTTGCACGTGATGCTAATTCAAACTCATTAAGAGCTGAAGCGGGCTCTTGTTGTCGAGGCTGGAGGATATCAAGTACGGATTTGGACTTTGGGGAGTCCTTTGCAAGTTGAGCGAGGGGCAACGTGGGCTGGGTGTTTTCACCACGGGGCACGTCCCATGAAACTTCGCTGTTTCGCTTTGACGACGCATTAAGACCGTCATCGTCAGATTCATCAAAACTGAAAGTGAGAGATTGTGGAGATCCTGGCGGCGAGCGACGCTCCTCCTCATCATCAATGGTAGCAAGGTTCACGATCTGCTCTGCTTCTGCCCACAGTTCACTGGAAGGTCCGTTGACAACTCCCAGCACATTTGCTTGATGCCGAAGACGTTTCAATTCCTCAACCAGTAGTGTTAATTCTTGGACCTGTCCAAATTGACCACGAAGACTTGCTTGACGCTCCAGAATGGCCTTGGGAACAGTCATACTCTGGCGATTGATATCAGGCTCAACAAGGGGTTTGTTTTCGGCGATAGGTGTGTCCTCCGACTCGTCAAAGTCAAAATCACTATCCCAATCTTCACTAACACCTTTACTGCCCAAGCCCCAAGTACCAAACTTCCCGGAAGTTTGACGCGATTCGTTGATGGGAAGTTCACTGGCGACTGGGACACTCTGGCTCCTAAGATGGACGGTGGATGGTGCTTTCCGGCAAACAGCCCGACTGTTTCTATCAACCACGCCCTCTTGCTTCCCATGCATGGTCCTAGGACGTGTCTCAGAGTCCGAAGATTCACGGTTAGGGTGCGTTTGTTCAGACCAGTCAAAGATGTTTGTCTTTTTGTTGACATCCGAATCTAACTCGCCCATAAAGGATCCAGACATATCATTAGCTGCACCAGCACGCGACTCGGGCTCCTCAGCAAATTTCGCCAATGAATGGGTCAAGGAAGATGAAAAACAATCACGATTATCGCTCGGAAGCGCTCCAATCATGCTGAGAGCATCATCATCAGACACGAACGGATTCTCAACCATGGATGCTTGAACCAAAGGAGGGGACGACAGTGGCGGATCAGTGAACAATTGGGGATCCTTGTCCAAAGACCGGGCGGCGAAGGAACCCCGCGGGAGGAGAGACTCCAAGGTCGTGGCTTCTTCATTCACCAAGCTCGTACCTGCTTTGTCAAACATCGTCTCAATCCGCAGCCCCTTCAGTCCACTGCGATTGGTCTCACGTGTGCGGACAGAGTCCCAATAGTCCGACATCATATCTGTATCATATCCATCGCACGATGTAAACACCCGCGTGTCATCGGAGCCAATAATGGTTGAAGCCGGATCGGAACCTGAAATCGAAAATCCCTTGGGACGGCGGCGAAGAGAACCATAAGCTTGACCACCGGGACGAGATGCTTGTTGCCAGGCCGACAGGGCGACCGCATCCGAGGTCATTTGACGTGAACCGGCTCGAGATCCCAATCCAACGTTATAGTCCTGCGATACCGATCGGGGACCAACTTGAGACCGTCTTTCCAAAGCCGAATCAGCCCAACCAGGCTGAGAAATGGGATAAGGAGCGCGAAATACGCTTGGATCAGTAATGTTGCGCCGCGGCTCTGGCTCCGGGGAACTCGGAATAGCCACATTCTTTTCTTCCCTGGAGAGTTCCGAAGGAGGGACTGAGAAGGTCCTCCCTTTCACTCGCTTCAGAGAGCCGCCGCGAACGAGTCCCATAATCGGTGTCCCGTGCGCGGTGACTGTGTTTGCCATGACAATTTTCGGCTCGACATCGTTGACCGAGTATGACTGTTTATGGCCGGATTTTTCTGCTGGCTGTTCCGGGGCGATTGGCTGCTTCGGACCGGGCTCAGAGGGGGCCGTTTGGAACGGATCGCGGAATTCAATTGGAGTATGAGGGACTGATCTGTCTTCTCGGGGCGCAGCAGTCGTGGGTGAGATCACATTAGCCATAACCAACGCTGGAAGAGCGCCCTGGTCAGCCACAATATGGCGTATGCTCTGAACCTTTGGGGCAGTGGCGGTCGAGAATCTGCGCGAAAGTCTCTCGGCTAATTTGCCAGCCTTGGGAACGAAGAATGGCGTCCAATGCTTCTGTTTATCGAGCTCGAATTCCTCGATCGCTGGACCTTCGACAGGAGTCTTCGGGAAATACTTATCGAAATCAGGTGTCAAGGGAGTCCGGAGGATCATCGACTCCGACCTCTGGTGACTAGTGGCGGGCCTGCGCAGCGCAGCCGGCGATGCTCCACAGATGGGGTTCACGACCAGAGCATGCGTATTTGTATGCTGCGAGGTCGGTCGCTTCACCAATTTGTTGGCCGGTCTTCGCTGACGGGGCGAGTGAGAAATGAGTGGAGTTGCTGACCCATTGAACGAGGGCGTTGCTGGGCTACTTGCGGTCGGGGTCTCAGCTTGAAATGAGGCCATCGACAGTCGTCGCAGCCAACCGGTGGATGGCCGCCGGGTATGTGTTGCGACCGACGAGTCTGTCGACTTATCTTCCGGAATTCGCAGAGGTGGATTTGTGAGAGTTTGGCCCCGACGACGGCGTCGCGCACCGCTGAATGACAATGGCACTTTCGACAGATCTGATCCCTGGCTTCCCTGAGAGCTTTCCTCTTCCTTTGCGGCAAGCCACTCGGCGGCCGGACTTCGAGATGGGATGGCTGTCTTGGGCCGGGCAACATCCGCCGTCGGTTCAGTGTTGATAGAGAGCGGCTCCGGGATAGCTTGAGCGTGAGTCTTCCGCCGAAAGAGGCCAGGCCTCTGAGTCCGTTCTGCGCGACCGAGCGCGAGGCCGGCAGGAGCCATTCCGACAGTGCTTAATGCACAGAGCTAGAAGCGCCGGTCAGTGAAAGTTCCGAAGCGACCAGGCCGCCGTTGCGCAAGCAATTCCGGGTCTCGTTCTGCAATTTTATATTGACATGGGGGCTTACAGTTGATATGTGATCCATCCTCAGAGGACGCCGTGAAGGATGTCAAGCACCCCGACGATCAGCTCCAGGTTGACAAGCTCCGTGAATAACATTCCAGATGGATGCAAAAACGAAAGAGTATCGAGCAAA